TTATTGTTTTCAAGTACTGTGCTTTTTATATTAATATTGCCTAAAATATTTTTTATTTTTATTATTTATTATAATTAATTTTTTTGTCAAAGCATTTATTTCTGTTAACACATATAAATGACTGTTTTAATGAATATAGTATTTCTTTATATCTCAAATAACATATTAATTTATATTTTTTATGTACAAAAATAGTATATCTCTAATATATATATAAAGAACTACAATTTTATCTAAAAAATACAATTTTGAACTTTTATTTTTAATTAATAAATATTTTGACCATTACAAAATAAATTATCATTTTTTCTTTTACTTGATTATGTAGATTTTAATACTGTATTAATTTTGTATACTCTTGAAACTTTAGTATATCACATTGATCCTTTTAACTTAAATGTCTCCTTGCTACTAGATCTTTGTTTTTATCTTTCTTTAAGGTAAAAATAATATATTATACTACTTTACAAAATGTTTTTAACTTTATTTTCAATTTTTACACATTTTTCAAAGTATATTTAATATTTAAATACAAAACAAATAATATTTTTATAATATAAGTATTTATACAATATCAAAAAATTATTTATTGTCAACTTTATTACTTATTCTTTTCTATCTTTTTTATATTACTGTTACGAATTTTTTTAACAAACAAAAATCTTATTATTTTTTCCGTTATTTCAGACTTAACAATAGCCTATTTCTTTTATTATCTATTAATTATTGCAAAAAAACACAAACTTATATTTTTTCTATATTTTAAATATTTATAACATAATTTAAATATTTTAAATCTCGTGCTTTTTCTTTATACCTATTACAAAAATAAATAAAATAAAATCAATAGATATTAAATTTTATAAACCAATATCATTAATCTTTTTAATATAATATAAATTTATAAATTTATAAAAATCTCTTTTATCACTAACTAAACCCTATCTCAAACAAACAAACAAACCATTTATTTAATAAAAATCATTTATTTAGAATGTACAAAAGTAATCTTTAAATCCAATCTATTACCACTTCCATATACATTTACTTTTTTAAAAAATACTTCAATTACAATTACATAATAACAATATTACTTTTGCTTAGAAGTTCTTTTAAACATATTTTCTATAAAATAGTATCTTAATATAATATAATCACATATTTATATTAATGATCTCTACTCATACTGCAATGCATTTTTTAATACTACATAACATCTCCTGCAAAGAAAGTGTTATCACAATTAAAGACTTTATTAATGATATACAGTTCATCATTAATCTCGCTTGAAAATTCACCAGCATTCAAGACATCTCCAGGATGATAGTCTGCTATTTTTTCTCCATATTGAGTTTAATCACTAAGGTTTTAATGAAAGAATGCTATGGTCAATTCGTATATCTATCGAGTCTCTTTTGTACGTGGTCTGTAAGATAATTCATCAAAATATTCGGTAGCCGCCAATGTATTAGATTCGTATGCATTTTTTTAATACACTAAATAAACATTTGTATTAAATAAAAATATCAATGAAAACAACTCGAAAGGAAAAAAAGATAATATAAGACAAACCACTCCTTTTTTTTCATCTCTTTTCTTTCTGCTTCTGAGCCTCCTGTGCTTTTCTTTTGCTTGTAAATTTTTATGATGTCCCTTTGTGCTCTGATACTAAATCTTTCGGATTGATTTTTCCTCATAACGATTCTGACTCACCAGAAGGCTCATGTGGTAATTCTGATCGATTTACAGTACTTGTAGGAAAAGATTAGTGATAAGTTAGTACCAATATAAAAGAGAAAGATCATTGTATTCCCGCAACTATTAAATAAATTTCAAACCTTAAATAATAAACTCATCGCGTTGCTATATACTTGTAATTTCGTTAATATGGGCAAATACAAAAATCGAGATAGGGATTTCTAGTAGAAAATTAATTATTTCTAAAAAAAATTTGATCAAGAGAAAGATAGCAATTACAGTACCAGTCAGATCAAAATCATCTCATCAGAATCACTTGCAAAATAATATCAAACCTATGTGATAATAATACTTATAATAACCAATCAAATTTCATAACATATAACCCGATGATTGCAACCGAACTGAAATTATAGTTGTAGGGTTAATTATGAAGGCATCGGATTCTCTGACAAATCAGTGATTATTGCGTATTCTGGTCCTCCATATTTAAGTGGCATGAGTAGAAAAGGTATAACCTTTAAAATATAAAATAATATTTAAAAGCCTGCAGAAGCGAAGTCAGAGAGAAAGCCATATGTGGAGTGCAAGGTGAACATCACTTAAAACAGGAATATGCAGAATAAATTCCTAAATCTTTCAATACCAAATGTGTTATATTGTTGTACAGCATATTACGAACTAACGCGTTTCCAGATTCAACCAAAGGGCAATCCTAAACAGAATCGATAATCAGTTTAATCGTATTATGTTATTTTATGATGGGTATATCATAATTTAAGATGATATTGGTTTTTCATGGTTTATTAATTTTACTACTTGGTTGGCTACTATAAAATATCATTCACTTCCTTTTCTCTAAAGCTTTAAACCTCCCAAATAAAACAAAATGTTTGATTTTCCGCCTGTAAAAAATTTTGTTCGTTTGCTTCTCGTTATTTATATATGAAATTTAGGGAGTGGACATCATAAAATATAAATTTATGGCATTGATGTAATAACAGAAACAGCCTGCTGAATTTATAAAAGAGCAGTATAAAATGTAAATAAGAGAATAGTAAGTGCACCTGCGAACGAGTCAATTCGGGTCAGATTCAGATTTAACCCGATGTAATCAAGGTTTTAAATCCAACCCGAAGATTATAGTATCGGGTTGAGTTCGGGGTTATACTGTATGTTCTGAAATTTTATTGGTTATTATAAGTGCTATTATCACACGGGTAATTTTTTGTTAGATACTAAACATCTTTATTTTGTGAGTGATTCTTATGGCAACAAAGCCCTAGCTTTTGAGATAAATTTGATCCGGCTGGTTTAGAATACTTACTAAATTTCTCTTAACCAATTTTTTTTTGATAATATTTATTTTTCCGCTAGAAATCACTGGTTCCAATTTTTCAATTAGTCACATTAACGAAATTACAATTATATTGAATGATCAAGCAACATAATGAGTTTATTATTTAAGGTTTGAAATTTATTTAATAATTGTAAGAATACAATGGTTTTTCTCTTTTTATATTGGTACTACTGTAACTTATACACGCTAACTTTAATCTTGTCCTACAGGCAAATCGATCAGACTTAACCGTGTCGAGATGACGAGTATTCTGTTAAGCCAGAATCGTTATGGAAAAAATCAACCCATAAGATTTCGGTACTAGATACAAGAAAGCACAGGAGGCTACAGAAGCGGAGAAAAGAAGACGAAGAAAAGAGGAAAGGTTTGTCCTATATTACGTTTTTTCTTTCGAGTTGTTTTCCCTTATATTTTTATTAAATACCATTATTTCTTTATTACATTAAAAAAGTCTATTAATATTCCAATGTATTGGTGGCTACCGAATATTTTAATGGGTTATTTTACAGACCACAAACAAAGGAGACTCGAGAGACATACGAATTGATCTTAGCATTCATTCATTAAAACCTCGGAGATCAAGCTCAAGATATAGTTTGAAGTGCTACAGATGACGTTCTGCAAATTTTTAAAAATTACTTAAGGATTTTGACAAGAAAAGAGATTTGCGCAGCTAGTGAAAAGATAATAGATTATCATCCTGGGATGCCATGAATTACGGTGAACTTTCAGACGAAGTTGATGATGAACTTGAAGTAGCTGTGGTATTTGATAAAGAGGAAGAAGAAGAATTTGGAAACAGGTATATTAGGCGTTGGTCAAGTTGAGGAAACAGAAGAATCATACAGCATTATTTTACGTAATGTCAAACATACCATTAAACCTATCAAGTTCTTTTATGAGTAACATACCATTAAACCTATCAAGTTCTTTTATGAGTAACATACCATTAAACCTATCAAGTTCTTTTATGAGTTTGCAAGATCGCCTGCTGATTCATAAGAGTTTGGCATACAAATTCGTTCATTTATATTGGCATTAGGTCTGTTATTAGTCAAGATAGTATGAAAATCATTGCGTTTGAAATATCGGGAATAATGGTTAACTGTTTAGAATTAAAATATTTGTACGACTTTAAGTTACATGTTAATAATTTTTATAAATTTTAAAATATAATAAAGCTTAGCTTCAGATTTAATAGTTATTTCCATTTCAACGAATATCGATGAAAAGTATCGTCGACCTTGGAAACTTCATTATTGCGTAAATCTAAAAATCACAAAAAACAAAAACACATGTACCCGGTACCCGTATTTTTATTTTCTTTCTTTCTTTAATCTTTAAACTTGGACTGAAAATATCAAACGAGTTAAATGAGTCAAATAAGTAAAACCCGATTTTGACCCGACCCAAAATTATTATGTAAGCAAATGATCTTACCCGAAATGTAAATTTTGGGTTGAGATCAGGTTGAGTTTCGAGTCGACCCGACTCATTCGGAACACTAACCTGCACTGCTGATGCATAAAGAATAGCAACTAAAACTCTGCTCGCTTCATCAATGCTATACGTGGAACACCTCCAATGTCATTTAAAATAGTATAAATCTCTGCTATGCAAATCAGGGTTCCGTATCCTGTATTACAGTCCTCAAGTTTGATTAAATGTTAGAAAAGAGGAGCTGTGTAGAATAAATATGAATATAACAATTATAATTAGTATAGAGATTTTCTACAATAGCAGAAAACTTGAATGAGAAAACTCAATAAAGACGGAGTTGTAAAACTCATACTGTAATAGCATTTGTTTAATAAATAACTTGCTTGCGATTCTTAAAATATCATATGACTATAGTACCATATTATATACGGTATATATACTGTGGGTTTTCTCATTAAAACAATTTATAGTTTGCACTCGTATTTGTATTGCCGTATTTATTATGAATAATTATTTATTTAAAGATATAATTGGTTTTCTATTTAATAAAAAAAAACATTATTCTACTTTATTGAATTTTTTCTTCTGGAAAGTTATACTCTTTCAACTTGTTCCATTTGCAGCGGCATCCATAGTTGATGAATCTTATTCATCTCACCAGGATGTATATGATGCACTCCTTAACACATTGTTTCCGATCACTTTGGTTATTTTGTTTAATATTTCAAAAAATAATAACGGAGAATCTGAGAAAAAAGAAAACTCTGGGGAAAATGGAGAATCCGAGGAAAAAGAAGACTCTGGGAAAAATGGAGAACCTGAAACTAGAGTACTTAGGGAAAAATTACTAGCGAAAGAAAATCTCCTACCATTATTGGATGACTTATTATACAACACAGTCACTTGGGCAATTCCACTAACAGTCTCTTTTGCATATAATGACTTGTTGAGTATTAAGATATTTTCAGTCATTAATGCATCCTTACATATAACTTGTGCAATATCTGCATTAATTCGCCCTATGTCAATAGTCAAGGCTAGGTTATATGATAGATTTGTTATTATTATTATTTTCTTAATACTTTTTCCGATCGTAGCCATTCCAGTATTCTGGATTGTTTATATTATTATTTCCCATGATTATAATATAACTAGCACAGCATTTCTCGTATTATTTGGGATAGCATTGTTTTTATCATTCGGTCTTTTTATATCATTAATATTATTAGTTATATTTGATCTTGATGTACTTGGTAGTTATTTTACATTTTATTTTTTTCTTTTCAGTATAATTTCATTTTATACCCCAAATATTTTGCAAACGTTTTTGATCATGTTAAAATGGCCAATCAACTTTTATTTTGTCAAAGCATGCGTATTTATACTGGTTCTATCTTTAACAAGAAATATCTTTTACTTTAATAATGAAGAAGTGCCTGAGAATTTTCTGGCCTCTTCAACAGCTTTTACTCAATGGGCGCTTTTTAGAATGAAAGACGAATGTAAAAAGGAAATTTATGATAAAAAGAAAAAAAATAAGAGTAATGGTGATATTTAAGCTTAATTTTTATATAGCTTATTCAATTCTAAACAGCTAGCGTTAAATTCCATAATGAAGGACATCTTTTTTGTTTGTCTTTTAAATTCACTACCTTTTTATATTAAAATTTTTATATTAATTAAATGGTCCCTTTTGTATTTTTTTTGAGTATAAGTAAACTGTGATTTGCTACTTATGACAAAGCTGGGCTAACCAGCGCATAGTTATGGTCTGATTTCGGCTCTGTCTTAATTGTTGTTTCAGAATTATACCGGATTGATAATTTAAATTTATAGAGAGTAAGTGAATCTATAATTATTTTAATTTTGTTTGGATAGTTGGATTTTATAGCGGTAAATTGAAAGCAGAACATTTACGTTGTTGGATTTACAAAACTATATGAAATGAGGGCAAGTCAGATGCAGGATATTTTTTATCGATTTTGTAAACTATATGAAATGCGATTAAATTGTATTTATTCTTTACTATAGCATATTGTAAGTTGAATCCGAGAATTATTTGTTATTCGTTAGAAAATCACACCAAATAATATTTGATACTATTCATCTCCTTTATTATAGCAGATTACATGTTAAATTATGGGTATATTCGCCATTTGTCTTGTAAGGTCATGTTAAATGAGATATACATAGTTATATTTTAGTTTTTTATCGCAGATGGTAAGTTAAATAGAAATATTTTCGTTATGTTTTGCAAAAAATTATATAATTGCATTTCATTGCTACTTAAATTATATTTTGTCATTATATTTTATGGGATTTTAATTTAAGTGGAGCTTAAAATATTTCGTTATTTATTTTGTAAAATTTTATCAATTGATATTTATTGTTTTCTCATTTATTACTATTTAGATGGCAAGTTGAATTCAGATTATTTTTTTTCTTTTTTATTTTTGTAATCATATAAAATTATTATTGTAGATACCGTATTTTATCAATAAATTATCTTTGTTTTATTAACATACAGCACAAGAAAAACTCGAACAAAACTTATTTTACGCCTCAAGGTCTTACATGATTGGTTTTGACGTTAGAGATATTTCTTTGCACATTTTATAATTTCTGTTACTGATATGACCACCATACCACATTTTCCTAATTTAGCCCCGCCTTTGGGACTCATTTTGATAATCATACAAAAGAAATCTTATTACCGTATTCACCATGAATAATTATTTTAAAGATATTGTTGGTTTTCTATTTAATAAAAAAAAATATTAATTCTACTTTAATTAATAATTTCTTCTCTAAATTATATTCTTTTTACTTGTTCCACATGCAATGACATCCATAATTGACGAATCTTATCCATCTCATCAAGATATAGTATATATGATACACTCCTTAACACATTTTTCCCGATCACTTTTGTGATTTCATTTAATATTTCACACGATAAACGGAGAGTCAGGAAAAAATGGAAACCTCATTTCAAATGAAAAATCTAAGGAAAATGGAGAACCTCTATTAAGTAAAATATCTAAGGAAAAGGAAGGATCGGGAAAATGGAATACCTAGGTGTAAATTTCTCCCGAAAGTAAATCTCCCACCATTGTTAGACGACCTACTATACAACACCGCCACTTTAATAATTCCATTGATAGTTTATTTTTCTTATGATTACTTGTTGAGTATAAAGATATTTTCGGTTATAAATGCATGCTTACATGTAATTTGTGCAGTATCTGCACTAATTCTCACTATAATATTAAATTAAATTCATTAAAAAACATCCTTGTATCGCTTTTTTCTTGGTACCTTTTCTGATTGTGGCCATTGTAGTCATTCCAGTATTTTGAGTCGTTTATATTATTATTATCCAAGATTATGATTCAATTAGCATACTATTTCTCTTGTTATTTGGGACGGTCATTATGTCTTTTTATCCTAATAATTTTAGCAGTTATTAATTATTAGAATGTATGTATCTTTTTTTATTTATATCTACTGTATTCTCATTTATACTCCAAATATTTTGCAAATGTTACAGATCATGCTAAAATAATCAGTCAATTTTAATTTTATCAAAACATGTACATTTATACTGATTCTATCTTTAACAAGAAACGTGTCTTACTTTAATGTTGATGAAGTGCTTGAAGTTTTTCTAGCCACTTCAACAACTTTTACTCAATGTGGATTTTTAAAAGGAAAGATTATATGAAAGAGTTGATTGATGGTAAAAAGAATAATAATAGTTATGCATAATTTTTTCATGCTTGCTCAAATCTTTACATTTAACATTATAATATCGTGAGGGTTCTTTGTTCACCTTTGAAATTTACTGTTTTTTGAATATTAAAAAATTTTTATGCAAATTAAATGACTTTTTATTTTTATTTTTTTTGAGTAAAAATAAATAGGTACTGCTACTGTATTTATGAAAAGTTTTCGCTAACCATATATGAAATCTAGTTATGGCACCGATTTCTTTTACTTTTTTCTCAATGTTAACAAATTATATTAGATTAAAAATAAATATTATAAAGTAAGTTCGATACAAACATTTTTCTCTTTGTTTAGTGTAAAAAACAGTGTATAATATTTAATTTAGAATAGACAACTTCAATAGCAGTAAATTGCGAGCAAAATATTTTGTTATTTAATGGCAAATCGGATTTGGGATACTTTGTTGTTTTATAAATAATATGAAATGCGACAAATTTTTTTTTATTCTTTGCTATGATAGATTGTAAGTTGAATTCAAGATATATTTATTGTTCATTTATTGTTATTTCTTTGTAAAATTATATTATTTGAGTCATATAAAATTACATACTTATTTTATAGTAGATTATAAATTAAATCGAATATTGATATTTTTTTCGTAAAAATTATGCGAAATGAGTATAAATGCATTATCAAATTTATAGTATGTTGAATTCAAGATATATACTTTAAATATTCTGTAAAATCATGCGAAATATGTTATTGTATTCCTACTCTTTGCCCTTTTAGATATAAGTTAAACCAGGCCATTTTTTTGTTATGGAATCTTAATAAATTCTAATCTATTATAAGAGGCAAAATTAAACAGACTATAGTTACGTGACGGATTTTAACCAGAGTATCGCGAAGAATCAACTTGATTGATTAATGACAAAGATATTACAGTATACAAATCATTTACCTTTAAGCCTTAAAATGGTCGATATATTTCGATCCTTTTCTTTTACTCTCTAAAAGTCTCCATCTAGATGCCTATAACATATATAAAAAGAATAAAAAAATATATAATAAAGGGTCAAGTCAAATCCACCTCTTTTAAGTTTCTGTTGATAAATTAAGGTAACGTCTACGCAAATTCTGCTCCCAGTTAGACTTGCCGATAGCCCGTCACACAATGTTTATTTCTATAAATTTATGTTAATTTAAATTTTATTGTATTCGCATTAATTACTAGCTGATTTTTTTCCAAATATCAAAGATACGTGAACTGTTCTACTTACCTCATTTATGCGATATCCCTACGGCATTTCTGGATTATAAGAACTTTTGACTTTTAATTTCCGAATATCCATTCATTTAAATAACATGGTACAGAAATTTCACTACAAATTCATCTGTACGGATGATGCACAAATGCCGTAGGGGTGTTGCATATGTGAGTTAAGGAGAATATCTCCTATGTCTTTTATTTTTGAAAAAAAAATCCCTGCTTTCATTGCTATAGCAGATAGCAATATAAATTTAGAAAATTTTAGAGTTAATTTCGTAATCATGTAATATTTAATTAAATTTTAAGTAAATACAGATTCATATTTAACTGTATAATAATAAACTTTATAGTAAGTTAAACATTTTATTAATAAATTATCTTTTTTTTATTAGCATATGCACATAGGACTGTAATAAAAATAAGGCAAAAAATAATATCGGACAAGACTGATTTTACGCCTCGGTCTTACGTGATCAGTTTTAATACCAGAAAGGTTTCATTGAATATTTTATAAATGATAATTTTCTTGGAATTAGTGTTACTAAACTAAAAATAATATCCTAGAATTTCTCAAATTATCTTATGATTACATTCATCCTATAAAAAATTTTTAATTGAGAAATTTTATAGTTTACACTCGCATTAAATTCTTGCAAATTATATGACTAGCTATACGAAAGAAATGTTATTGCCATATTCGCCACAGACAAGTATTCCTTAAAAAAATTGATTTTTTCTAGTTTAATCAAAAGACCATGATCGTACTTATTAAATTTATTCTTCTGGAAAATTATATATCTTTTTACTTTTCCACTTGCAAAGGCATTCATAGTCGATGAATATTATTAATCTCACCAATATGTACTGTATATAATGCACTTATCAGCACATTATTTCCTATTACTTTTAAAATTTTGTATAATATTCAAAAAAGAAAAATGGAGAATCTATATCAAATAAAAAATCTAAGAAAATGGAGAATTTGGGGAATAGACTACCTAGAAATAATTAGTCGCAAAAGAAAATTGCTCACAATTATTAGATGACTTACTATACAACACATTCATCTGGATAATCCACTGACAGTTTTCTTTTGCCTATAGGGACTTGTTGAATATAAAGATATTTCGTTATAAAGGCATGGTTACATTGTAGTACATCTTTTATTTAAACAATATATTTTTTTATTTTATTTAAATAAAAATTCTAATTTCAGTGTTCACATTGCATTGCACGGTTGAATCATATCTCATTATAAACAAACTTGAACTTTACAATGTCAACAGTGAATAAAAAGATAAGTAACTTTATTAATATAACACGAGTATTGCCATTAACACGAAATTTAATAAGCAAAAACGATGGCAAATGTGTTCAGCTACAAATTTTACAATCCACAAATTTTTTGAAAACCGTACTATTTTATTACGTAATCAAGACTATTAAAAAAGACCTTGTTTTATTTCTATATGCAAATAATGCACAGGTGAAAAAAAACCAACGGCCTTCTAAAATTGATTTTCCATTCTTCGCAGGAATTATGCAGCGTTTGTAAACCT